GACCCAGGAGGCAGAGGTGGGCTGATCTCTGAGTCTGAGCAGCCTGTGTGGTGCTGGGGAGCCATAGGACCAGGATAGCTGGTCCAGAGCAAGAGTGAGGTCAAGACATGTCCAAACCCCCAAAATCTTGTCCCCACACAGGCAGGAGTAGGACTGTTTCCTCCGTGCTCTGGGTCTGCATGTCCTGACCTTTCCGGCTCAACCTCTGCCTCCCTTGAGGTGGTCATGTAGCCTGGTGGCCAGGTTTCAGGTTAAATGTCCTCTCTCCTTATAATGACATGTCTAGCTAGCACCTGGAATTCCTCTTCATGCAAATGAAGCATTTCTAGCACCCTGGGACCCAGCCAATGATGTATGCTCACCTCCCCCCCCCCCAAAAAAAAAAAAAAAACCCTACACGCTCCCCAAGGCTTGAATAGCCTTTATTCACCTCAAATAAACAGAGCCGTTGCACTGAATCCTGCCTTGGAGAAAGAAGGCTATTTCTTCCACATTCAACACTGACTGAAATCCTGTGTAACCCATCTGCCCTGGCTAAGCTTCATTCCTTCCAGCCCAGCTCAGTGCACAACAGTGCCTGGACACCCTGAGGGGAAAAGCAGACCCAAGGTAGCAAGCCTGGTCTACATAGTGAGTTCAAGGACAGCCAGGGTCACATAGTGAGACCTCAAGCTGTCCAATGATTGCTTGCATTTATTGGGTCTTATGCTATTAGAAATAATACCCTTTCCCATTTTCTTTTGAAGTATTAGGGATCAAACTCCAGGCCTGGCACATGCTCGGTAGATAGGCTACCATTGAGCCATCCCTCTGGTCTGAAAGGGTGCCTTTTGCCTCTTATTAATCATGGCCACAGCCGCAATAAGCCACAAGTCCTTCAATCTACAATCTAAAGTGTTGGCCTATCAAGCCTGGCAGAGAAAGCGATCCTTAGGATTGTAGAATGTTAGACCCATATGGGCTCACAAAGACCACACAGTACCCAGTCTTATCTTCAGTTGAAAGCTAGGCAGTGATTCGACTAAGGCCATTGGGTTCCTGGAGGGCTGGAACAAGAGGCAGTGCCAGGAAGCCGTGTGTTAGAACAATTAACCGTGTCTTTAAAAACAAATGCCTGGGCAAAGGAGCCCATCACTTCTGAGCTATATGACCTGGGGCAATTTGTCCAACATCTTCAAGGCTCATTTTTCTGGTCTGTGGAGTTGGGCTAATACATATTTCCAGGATTGCTGGGGTTGGGATAAATGGAGCAGTGGTCTTTTAGTAATTGTTCCGTATGTCCTTAGCACAGCAGCAGTGAATGCTATGATCAGTTCCTCGCCCAGGGCAGAATCCTCTCAGCCAGAGGCTTGTGTCGCAAAGCCCTGTCTCTCAGGACAAAGGTGCTTTTTATGTGAATAGAGTCTTCACCAGCAGCTAACGAAACTACAGGGTGACCCTGTGTGGATTTCCATTTGAGGTGCCCCCTTAAAGGACCCCTGTTCCCTTGGTTACCTCTCGTTTGTGATCCACCAACCAAGTGCTATTTATGTGGAATGTGCTGCCTGGGCTCTGAGAGAGAAATGTGGCCGCAGTGCTGAAGAAGAGCCAGGCGGGGGCTAGAGAAAATGGCTCAGTGGTTAAGAGTGCGCACGGCTCTTCTGGAGGTCCCGGGTTCAATTCCCAGCACCCACAGCTATCTGATGCTGTCTTCTGCTGTGTATATAAACATGCAGACAAAGTATCCATATAAACAAAATACAACAAAAAACAAAATCTTAAAAAAGAAGAGCAAGGTGGAACACCCTAAGCGTTGTGTGTGTGTCTCTGTGTGTATGTGTTGGTACATATGTGTGCTCATGTGTGTGAAGGCCAGAGCAGAGGTTGATTCCAGGTAACAGGCATCTTCCTTGATTACTTTATTTGCAAGGGCAGACTCTCACAATGAGGCAAGAAATCACTGATTCACCTAAGCCAGCTCACCAGCTTGTGTCAGGATCCTATCTCTGCTTCCGGGTCATGATGGGATGGCAGGCAGGCCACACCACACCCACCCGGCATTTCTGTGAAGGTTTGGCTTCTGAACTCTGACCCTCTGTTTATGCAGCAAGCATGTTATCTATGGAGCCATCTCCCAGAGTCATCCAGAGGCATACAAGCTCAGAGCCATGATGGAGGAGGAGGACCCTTTGCCTCTTAAAAGTCCTTTGGCTGATACTTGCCATCCCACAGGATCTCTTTTTTTACATGCTTGGCTTAAATTTTTATTGGAATAAAAAAAATTCAATATTTTTATAAAATATTGGTAACTTAAGTCCTGTGGTGATGGTTAAGAAGGATGAAATTTGACTAATGTGCTTGCATGTACACACAGTTAATCTTAGTGATATAAATTTAAACATTTCAAGTCAGCTTTAGTTAATTTCAAGTTCATGTGTGGCTGCCAAGTTGACCCACTGAGTGGCAAGGCAGTAACCCAGGCACACCCGGCTTAGGGACAAGCCACGGACAGCACATCTGTCCGAAGACATGGGACTATGGACCGTGCAGCTCAGTCAGAGCTCCCCAGGATCTTCCTGGGAGAGAAAACCAGAGGTTTGCCTTTTTCTTTTGTGGGAGGTGGGGGAGGGGAAGAGTCTACCAAAGCCTTTTCTCCTACTGGGTTCAATTCCTTAAGAAACATTGATTTAATTTATCCAAAGAGCCACTAAACACTACGTGTTGACGTCAGCTCATCCAAGGTGCCCTTTCGTGGAACGCAGTGTGAGACTTGGTGCAGGCAACATTTAAACCATCCATCAGGTCCTACTATTTCCACCACCCCCCCCCCCCGCCCCCGGCTGGCCCAGCTCACTCCATAGCTGAGGTTTCCCTCACCATGTAGCCCAGGCTGGCCTATTTCCTTCTGCTTCAGGATCCTGAATGCTAACATCACAGGTGCGCAGCTCGCGCCTAGCTGCCTCCTGGCTTCTTTTCTCCCTCTCATCTCCTGCCCGGCCCCTTTCCTCTGTAAGTGAAGTCAATTATATATAAAATTACAAACAAAAATCCCCCCCCCCCCAGCAAAACTACCAAGCCTGCATTTTCCCACAGAAAAACAAAACATCAAAATGTAACAATGAAATGAACTAAAGGAATGGATTCTTTCTCCTCCTCCTTTTCCTCGTCTTCGTTTTTACATTTCCCATCGCTTTCATAACGTGCTTCTTTTCAAAGAACAAAGCGCTCAGTTTAAACACAGTCCAAAGCAATTGTTGTCAATCAGTGGTGAATCCACGTGCTTTCTTCAGACACGCACCTGTGTTCTCTACGGCCTCTTCCCACGAGGAGCGGCCCTGTGACCATTCACATCTATTCTCTCTTAACCGCATGTGGTCTACACTTTTTTTTTTTTTTTTTTTTTTTGGTGAAGGCATCTACTTTTCCATATCTACATCATGAATTTGAGCCCAAAGTTTGCCTCCCATGGCCATAAAATAATTTCTGCTTGGGCCAAACTGTCCGTATCTTTCATAAAATGGAAATTTATTGAGAGCTTTTCCTGGGCCGATCTTGTTTGATGAACTCAGCCTTTGATTCCCTTGGATGTCAAAGGGAAGGGCGCATAGTATGCTTCAGTGCAAGTGAGTGACTCTTCATGGCACCTGATAGGAAGAGAGACTGCCATCCAAGCTGGGCCAGGGCCAGCGTGGGAACCAACCTGAGGCAGAGTGGTGAGGGCGGTGGCAGGCAGCTGCCACAGGCAGGAAGGACACATGCCACCCAGGGAATGAATTCTTTCTTTCTCAGTAAGTATAATGCTTTGACTTCAAAGACATCAAACTTCCGTATCTATTTAATGTGATGGGACAACTTTATTTCAGACTGCACATGCCTTCAGACAAACTTCAGACTGTAGTTCCTTCTTTATTATTTTCAGCATCTGGCTAAGCTGTGACACAGACCTACCAGAGTCCTTTAGCCGATGGCCAGTCCTGGCTGACCGAGCATGCTGCCTGGCCCTACAAGCAAGCCTGGTAGGCAGCCTGTATTTATAGAACAGGCATTTTCCCCCGTGGGAGAGCTAGGGATGCACCCCAGATCCCCAGAGGGAGTGAAGTCGGCAGCAGAAAACCTTGCCTCACTTTGTAAAAAGAAGGGAGGAGCAGAGGTCCCTGGTGTGGGGTAAACTGGTTTAGTGGAAAGGCATTGTGTGTGGAGGAGAGATGGCAGCCCCTTCCTGTGTGACACCTCCTTTCCTGGGCAGGTCCCAAGCATATTTGGGCATGGAAGAACACACATGTGCACATACAGATGTGGAGCCACGTGGTATTAAATGTGGAGCTGGCAGGTACAGCCGTGATCCATCACCCGCATAGGCACAGCCCTCTGATAACACACAGGCTTTCTGGAACAACCAGGCTGCCAGGATAGCATTGTTCTTTTTTTTCCTACCCCCTCACCCACCCAAGCCAAACCCTGGCCTTGTCAGATCGCTACAGTCTTATAAGCCTGGTGTAGCCCTCACGGATGCAGGACTGGGACAAAGAGATGATGTTACAGTCTGGTTTCTATGGCAACGAAGGAGGGGTAATGAAAACTGAAATGTAGGAAACACCCATTCTGATTATTGTGACATAATTCAGTTTTATTAGAAGGAAGTAACTATCCAAAAAGCAGAAGTGTCACTACCCAGGCACCTCGTGCTGACAAAAAGCTCCACTGTGCATTTCTCCTAGTTGGGCTATAAAGAGGAAAGAAACACTACACACGCACACACACACACACACTCACACACACAGAGTCCTCCCTTTCTGCATGTAAAATGTGTGTGTTCTTTAGAAGCCAGTGGTTGGCTGGTGTTCCGGACATGATGTGGTTGAAGCTGTCATCGTAATGGAAATTCACTGCTGTAGCTATGGTAAATCGAGTGTTCCGCCTGTGCTGAATGCATTAGTCTAATGAGATGTTTGCAGCGGCGCGAGCAGGGCTGCTGGAGACTAAGCCGTGAGCAGCAGCCCACGGCTGGACAGCAGCTTGTGCAATACCCAGGGTGCTCGTGCAGGAAGTCACCTGTCCTCCGAGGCAACACTCCCGACCTGATTGATCAACACCCTGACCAGGGCTCTGTGACCAGGCTGTAGGTAAGGGAGACGCACGCCGAGGGTGTGCCGTGATGCTCGTCCTTCTCTGTGGGCTGGCCGCACAACAGGTTACCGGGTGTAGTTTATTTGGGAGGGTTTCTTGGCCTCCGTGGCATGAGTGCCTGGTGCTGCAACTCGGTAAACTTCAGATTCTAACATGCAAAATGCAATGTTTGATTTCTTAATGATAGCTGAGAGGAAGGTGTAATGCAGAAATACATAGTTTATATATTTTTCAGTAGGTACACGGTGCTCTTTAAGTCTGCATGGAAAAAGGCACAAAGTTTTTTTTTTTTTATTTTCAAGCATGAACTCGGATAACTGGTTGGCTTTTTTTTTTTTCCTCACCTAATAATACTTTTGCTTTGCTTTGTTAATTTAAAAATTGCAGTGTGTTTTAGGTTACTGACATTTGCCTAAAATTTATTATTAAAACGGGTGCTTTGCAAACACACATCCAAGCATTTTTTTTTTAAGGTCACATTTTATCTAACTTATTTTGAATTTTCCAGATGCAATATTCGTGTCTTTGTGTCGGTTGCTGATTTACCGGTCGTAGCGGAGGATAGGATTGCTTGCTTGCTGGTTGCTTCTGTTAGTTTTGTTAGGGGGGAAACCAATCCCAACTTAGTGTGGAATGTTTGGAGGAGTTTCCCCAAGTTCAAAGACAAAGTCACCTCCTCCCCAGGCCCAGCACTGTGTGACCTGAGCCCCCTTCTGCTTGTCCTGCCTGCTGCCCCAATCTGCAGGTTGCTGTGAGAGATGGACGGGACCGGGGGCGGGGGTTCGGTGTTGAGCTTGCTGCAGAGTGAGCAGTTTTCACTCATTGCTGACGTGTTGGAGTCTAAGTTCTTGCCGTTATCTGTGGTGACAAACCAGGGGCGGCTTGCTGGGTTGTCTTTCCAGGGTCATGCCATTTCTCAAGGGGGCTGAGACCATCAGCAGCATCTCTGAGAAACTGGCTTTTTCCTGGGGTATCTGAAAAGTCGCCCAGACCCGCCAGAACAGACATGTTTGCTGTGCTCTCTGTATTTTTAATTCCTTTCCCAATTATGGAACTTTTTTTTTTTTTTTTTTTTTTTTTTTTTGAAGAGTGAGAGACACAGTTGCCTTTCCTGCCTCAAAACTTTCCTTCTTCTCATTAAAAACAAAACCAAAATGGAATGTCTGGAGAGAAAGCATAAAAGTATAGAAATAACTGTAGAGGACAAGGCACACAATTTCGACAGAGTATTTCTTGGGACGTTTTGTTGCTTCGCTCAGTCTACTGACTATTTGAACAACAGCGACTGGGTTATGATTACCTAGAAAGCCAGCTCCGAGTCACTACCAATATGTATCTAACATGCGAACATAGATGATCCACGCAGAGAAGTTGCTCCATGGCTTCGCAATCTACTTTTAAAATAGAGCTTTCAACTGTTTTTAAAACATGCAATTATTTTCTATCGCTCCTAAGACTGGGTTTATGGAGGGACCCCTCTCCAGGTGCCCGCCTGTCCCCGTTCGTAGTGTCTGAAAAGGGCATACAGATCCCGTAAGCCCACAAATTTCAGTTGTCCATCACATTTAAATTTCTCCCCAGGTCACCAAGTCTACCTTTGTTTTATTCTTAAGAGGTGTATCTTAGCAGTAAGAAGACAGGAAAAGGAGTGGGCCGGCGTGGCTGCTTCCTGCAGGTCTTTTCTGTTGCTGGTGGTGAAAGCCGCTGTAGTTTCACTTTCTGCTTCTGGTGGGGGTGAAGGTTGGAGGTCACAGGAGATCAGCTTCTGGGAAGCAAGCCAAACCCAAACGCTGTCACCCCGACTCCTGCACTTTGATCTTGACGACTCAAGAAAGCAAGGACATATAGTATACTCAAAACTGCTCGTGTATGATAAAATTCTAACAATACCCTAAAGGACAAAGACAGAAGTTTTTTGTTTTTTTTTTTAATTACTAAATGGTGGAAAAATCATGATCAGCTTGCCTTAAACCTTCATAATATGGTGGTTTTTATTTGCTTCTTTTTAACCCTAGTGTTGGATCTCAAATGCTTTACTTCAGTAAGCTTAAGGAAACGAACGTAACAAGGGACGCTCACTGAAGAGCGACTTTTCTGTCAGAAAGCTGGGGTGTGGAACACAAAATTCAGAGTGTTTCTTAGGTCTGTCTACAGCTTTGCAAGATCTAAGGGCAAACCACATGCACGTACACACACTTTAGAACAGCATTGGTTGGGGCAGAGGAAGCAAAGGGAAGGTCAAAATTCAGAGTTCCTTGGGGTTCCTCTCCCTAAGTAGGTCCCTCCGAAAGCTCAGCATCGCAGGACCTCTAGATCCATGGGCTATGTGTTCCTTGGAGATTTAGAATTCTTTCTCCCTTAGATTTGGTTCGAGAATGGATTTGGGATGAAGATAAAGACAGACCCTTTTCCCATCTAGTCATCAGGGACTGTAAAATTGCCTTCCTGTTTAGGGAGTGATGCTCATCAGAGCTGTCTTGCCTCAGGTGTAAGCACACAGGCTTCTTTCTTTTGATGGGCAAACTCAGGTTTGTTTTGTTGTTGTTGTTATTGTTTTGTTTTTTGAGAAAGGGTTTTTCTGTGTAGCCTTGGCTGTTCTGGACTGGATTTGTAGACAGGGCTGGCCTTGAATTCTCAGCGATCTGCCTGCCTCTGCCTCCCTGAGTGCTAGGATTAAAGGCACATGCCACCGCACCTAGCTCCGAGACAGCTTTTAAAAAAGCTTCCTTGGATATTCTACGTCTTAATCCTGAAATCTCCCAAATGGCTGAGATTTACACATTTTTCCTCATTTTAAAATGTTTTTGTTGCTTTCAAAGGCAGGTGAGGAGCGATGGGGACTCAAATGGTCCCTAGGAGGGAAAAAAATCAGATGGTTTGGTACAAATATAATGTTTTAGCAGCCGCCAGGGTGTCTAGTAAATTACTCTAAATTTTAATTAATGAGACACAAAAGCCATACTACAAGCTTTAAAAATTACCCTTTTATCAATAAGGTGATAATTAACTTTCTCTAGAATTAGCGATTCTCTGAGCCCCGGGCAGTATGCCGCCTGCTAAGTTCTTTGGAATGCTGCCAATTTTTTAACAATTGGTCTTTTGGCGAACCTAGTGGTTTTTAATTCAAATATCTATTGTGGCATTTTTCAGTTGTGGCTCAAGGACCGTTAAGATCACTCAAATCCTGGTGAAACGTCTGAGACCCAGAATAGCTCAGAATATTGGGTTGCATTAGAATTGGTTACTTTCTCTTTGTTCATTTTTTCTGTTTCTACCTTTCCCTCAGCAAACCCCAGTCTTCTGGCTGGAAGCCATGATGACGAATCATGGTTTGCGGGCTCAAGCACAGCCACTGGGTTCATTCTCAACGGGTGTATCTCAGTTTCTGTCCTGGCAAGAAGCTGTATTCTCCTGCATTTCTGCAAGGCTGAACTGGTGGGCTGTCAGATGCAGATATTTAGATGGGGAAGTTCAGGCTGGAGACCCTTTTGGTCGTGCCCAGGAGTTTGCAATCTAGCTGATTTATCCAAACTGATGGCTATGGACCACGGGATCCAAGCATTCTACATCTAAGAGGAGGCTTCAGCAGAACCAAAAGCACCACACACACACACACACACACACACACACACACACACACACACACTTCTGGTCAGGCTGGGATGCTAGTGTCAAGGTCTAGGCAGGCAGTTCCCCCTGAGACAAGTATGGCCCTGCCTTCAGTCAGGTGGGATTTTGGAATCAAGCTGCTCCCTGTAACCAGGTGGAGCCAGCTTAGCCACAGATAAGGGGATGATTCTTCCCACGTTGTGGGATGATTACAGTTTGGGTTACTCATTCAGGGAAGAAAAAACCTGATCGCTTAGGGGCAGTCCTGAGTTTGTACTAAACTAAGAAGTCACTCCGTGGAGTCCCAGGGAAAACCTGAAGCCAATGGAGTGCGTCCTCGGCTCTCCTGGAAGGCCTCTCTGGCGCAGCTCCTCTTCCCACCGTCTGGACTCACTTGCACGGTTGTGGATATTTGAGAATCTGTGCACATCCCTGCTGCCTGACTCTCAGGAGGACCAAGGAACAACAGCCTTGATTTCTGCAGAAGTCGTGACGGCGGAGGGAGGCGTGGAGCTGGCTGCTGGGAGAGCATCAACAGGCCAGGGCATAAAAAAACCCCAGTGTGCTTCGAAAGGTGCCAATGCTGGCTGCCTAGACCCCTCAGCCTTTGAGAGCTCAATATTTGGTAACCAAAGCTCTCCCTCCCCCCGACACACACGCCTCCTTCCCAGTGCTGAAATGTCATTGGTTCGAAACAGATACACATGGCTTGAAAGCAATAAAGAACTTTTTTGAAGGGACAGATGCAAGCGAAGCAAAGACTTGTCCCATCGAGGTCCAGGTGAAGCAAGGAGACGGAACTGTGGGCGAGTGGCAAAGGATGCTGGGATAGATCCCAGGAAAGGAGTTTAGAAAAGGTTCAGCCAGAGAGAAGTAGACTATGGCTCTCAGGTGACAGAGTATGGGTAGGAGGACGGCTTTTCTCTTTTTCTCCCTCTTACCTACATGTCTTCCCAGGACATCAAGTCTATAATGAGAAAACCAGGGTGAAACACAGGATGCATGTTTCTATAATATCCAGAGCTGTGCCTTTGGCCCATTCTCCAGTCACGTGTGATCTCAGAGTGGCCATATCTGAGGCTCTGCCATGACACTGGCCTCTAAGCCAGCCTGGGGTGGCCTCAGGATTGGAATCCTGTTTTGACTTTGTGAGCAAGAAAAGGAAGAAGTGAGGGAAAGCCATGATGGAAGTCAGCTGGCAGAGTCACACTTTTGATTTTGGAAATGAGATTAGAAGTTTGTATAACGGAAACATCACTTTGGACCTAACCATTTCTGGGCTACTACCATACCTGGTGCAAGACTCATCCTTTGTATGTGCATGTGTGTGCATTTGCAAGCATGCACACATGTATTTGTGTTTGTGGAAACCAGAGGATGACTTCAG